ACCCCTGAGAAAGAGTGGGGATGTGGATGAGTCCTTTTAAGGTCAGAAATATTATGGACTCCTGACGTCTTCAACTTATCACCATGCATCTCAAGACTGTGTTGACTCCGATCGCTTTGGCTGCTGTTGTCGGTGCTACTAGGAGTATACGCGATGTTGAGCCGTGTGCTCAGGTTAGCAAGTTTGTGGAAGAGGCCAACCAAAACCAGAGTACGTCATGAGCTCGAAATTATCAAAATTATCAAAATTATCACTTGGTTGATAACTAACGGTCGCAGCAAATGCCCTTGTCCCTCATGATTTGGCACACCAATGTCTGCTATCTATGCCCTTTGACTCGAACCGCGCCGTTGATTTCTTGAATCAGGTTCGAAAGATCCTCGAGTTTCAGTCGACTATCGATATTTTGAAGGGTAAGTGATATCAATTCAAATGAGAATTCTTTAACCTGGCTAACCTGTATCTGCTAGATCCTCCATCGGGATATACCATGCCGTCCACGGATATTATGGGGGGAATCGATATAATCATCGACAAGGCCAAGAGCAATAGCTATACCAGCCAATTTGAGATGGACTTGGAAATCAACCACCTTATCAAAACGGCCCATGACGGTCACCTGGCTTTCCAGCTATGCTCACAGTCAATCTTCACATATCAAATCGATATGCCTCTAGTGTCAATTTCAACAGATGGGCTCGCACTTCCTCAAGTGTACGTGTTAGGTATGTTCAGACCGGTATATATATCAAAACTTTGAACTAACATGACAGGCGATGCAAAACTGCGGAAGGTCGACCCGGACGCCGTCTCGCCTCTGGTGTCAATCAACGGCACTGATGTGGCTACGTACCTTGAATCATATGCCAATGATCAAAATCTCCAGGATCGTGATGCACAGTAGGTGTCCTTCTACAGCCACGACATTGAATCACATTTAACTGTCGCAGGTACAATCGAGTGTTCCCCGCGCCAGCCCGTAGTGTCACCAACACTCCTACTAGTGTGGATGGAATCTGGGCTTCCATTGGAGACTGGACTGATGGCGCTCAGCTGTCCCTCAAGTTTGGTAATGGCACTGAAAAGATTGTCCAGAAAACAGCCACACCGAGCGAAAAGTTCTTTTCTTACGAAAATGGCACACACCTCTACGACATAGAGTGTCTTCCTCGAGACTTGTCTACAGCTTCGAGCAGCCCATCTGGCGCCGAGACAGCCTCCTCTGAGATACCGGGATTTCCTAGCACCACCTGGCGTAATTCAGCTAATTCGATTGCTGGATACTACTCTGAATTATCAGAGCTGGAGAACACAGCAATCATATTTCTGCCTACGTTCTCATCTAGCGCATCAGAGGTCGCTAAGATTGCGGTTGACTTCTTGCAAAACAGCACCGAATCTGGAAAGAAGAACGTATTGATTGACCTTTCATCTAACCCGGGTGGATACATGTCTATTGGCATCGACCTGTCTCGTATCTTCTTCCCCAATGCTGCTCCATACACAGCGACGCGGTTCAGAGCACACGATGCAGCTAAGTACCTCACAAAGGGATACTCGCGCGACAACAGCACGGACACAAGCAATGTTTTTGCGTATCGGCAGATGGTTCCACCTGACCAGAGCACGGACTTCAGCTCGTGGGAAGATCTCTATGGGCCGCACGAAATCCTGGGAAGCTCTGCTTCTAGCCTATTAGCCAACTTCAACTACACCTCCACCTCTACAGAAAACTTTCCCATTAGCGGCTACGGGCCTGTTCCGTTGAACCCAAGCAAAGCACCCTTCTCGGCGGATAACATCGTTATTGTAAGTGATCGTTTCTCACACAAGAATACAGAAAAAAGAGAACAAACTAACACAAACTCAAATGACAGATCACAGACGGCGACTGTGTCTCGACTTGCGCGTTCTTTGTCAAGCTGATGAAACGCCAGGGCGTCCGCACTATCACCTTTGGCGGCCGTCCACAGAATGCACCCATGCAGGGTGTCGGTGGCGTCAAGGGCGGCCAGTCACTTGGGGTCAACTATATCAACGGATATATCGAGCAAGCGAACGGGCTGATTGAAGACTCAGTCAACAGTGGATCGCCACTGCTGACATCTGCCGAGTGGAAGGCATTCAATGAGTCCAAGCCGAGCACGACGGCATCGCTCCAATGGAGTGGCAACCTCAATCTGCGAAATGAGTATGACCCGGAAGATAGTCAGACACCGCTGCAGTTTGTTTATGAGGCTGCTGAATGTCGGCTGTTCTATACGCTGGATAATTACTTGCAAAGGGAGACCGTGTGGCAAGCTGCGGCGAAGGCTATGTTTGGGAGTGGGCAGTGTGTAGAGGGATCGACCAAGGGAAAGGGTAGTCTGGATTCTTGATCTATTGACATTCTAGCAGAGAGACATACATATCATACATAGAAATTTTGTAAAAAGATATACATACCTGGCCTGTACTCCGTACATTTGCTGAAATTGCCCAGGTGACTGTACGGAGTAGGAGAATCACAACTACGTGCAGCACATTGGAGAAATACTACCCGGTTCTCGCCAAGCAACCCAATCCCCATTCGGGTATTGGGTTACCACGGCTAGACGAAAACTCTTGCGAAACAAAAATTTTGAAGAACGCATCAATTTTTTATTTATTTTTCTCCCCTAATAACGCCTATAAAAAATCCTAGAAAATCCTAAAAAATACTCAATCGATATTTACATTATCCATAGGAGGAATCTATGGAATAAACCGTGTTCCTAGGGTAGGGGTTTCGTCCAAATCAACTGGCTGTATACCCCGCTTTTTTAACCGCCTCATTTCTTGAGTATATTCCTTAGATTCTCGCTCTTAGATCATTCGATTTACATTGCTAGTAGTAAGTGGACCACCTATATTAATCTGTCGCTTAGTAATACACGTCTCCTGAGCCAGTTTATTGTGTAGAAGGTAGGTATTATCCTCGGCGAGCTAAGCAGCTAGCTTAGCTGAGATTCGAGCACTTTGATATAATAACTTTGCATAATATTGAATAGTGGTATAAAGCTTACTATCTAGTAATTCAAGGTCTGCTTCTAATTTACGAGTACTTTCAGTAATATAAGTAGGCCTATAGGGGGGGGAATTAGTAATTGAACTTAGGAAATCAATCTTAGATTTATTATCTTTGCCGAAAATAACGAGATCTGGACCATAATCCACGGTTTTTTCGAGAGGATTGAGTACCCTATGGTAGTTAAATGGGTAAATACCATAATTTGCAAAGCCAAATTTAATTACTTTAGTTATAAGGGTATTGCGAATAGAGATAATTTCCTGGAAAAAACCGCATTTTCGCTTAATAGAACCACCCTATTGAATAATGTTATTGTTATTTAACTGGTAATATTGTTGACGGTAAGGCTACCGGTTCGGGTAGAGATCGGCTCCCGGAGCACTACCTGAGTTAGTCCGGGTGCCGCCCTGAGCGCTCCCTGAGCAACCTGGAGCACTCCCTGAGCACTCCCTGAGCACGCCCTGAGCAACCCGAAGCTCTTCCTGAGTATGCCCTGATCAACCCTGAGTACTCACTGAGTACTCCCTGAGCACTCCCTGAGCACTACCTGAGCAACTCTGAGCCTGGAGCACTTCCTGAGTGCCCCGGGCCAGTCCCTGTGGTCTGTTATCTTACTACTAGATTCTTGCCTGCTCCGATGCTAACCGGTCTACACTGAGTGTTCCTAGGAGCTCAGCGAGATGACGTATATTCTTGTCGCTACAGTGGTCTGCCCCTTACGTCCTCCGCTTCTCGCCAGTGGATGAAATGCTGGCTTCTTCCCCACAACATGTTCGGCCAAAATCGATTGACAAAAATAGCACGACAACTTTTTCATGCCGTCGTGCTTGAACTGTGATGTTTTGATCCCAGGATCAATCTCAGCCACGCTAGGATCACGATCTTCACCCATTGTAAGCTATCCCAAAAGAAAGCTCCTGGGAACTCACTCCACGGCCAATACTCCACGAGCACCTATGACACGGCGATTGGCCGAAGCAAAGAACGGACAAGATGCAAGATCAGTAAAAGTGTCCATTTTGCTGGATTTGCCTTGTCTATGGATTCGGATATCATGCCGACGCTACGTTAACTGTGATCTTGGGCCGGGAAGGACCGTCGAAAAACTGAAGGAAAGATGGCACATAAAGACTCAACTCTTGCCACTTTGCAGCTTTCACCTCAGTATTATTCAAGCTTATATTTAGCACTCTCCTACCCCTCTTCCCTTTTATCTATCATTTCACATAGTCGGATTTCAACATGGTCACGCTAAACCACCAAAGTTTTTGGCAGCCAGCGCCTTCAGTCTCAGTAATGCCCTCTTCCACAAGCACGGAGAAAGGGACTACTAAGGTAGTGACCTAGTTGGTAACCTTAGATGAGAAATTCGAAGTAGAAGGCTACACCTTAGATACTCATATACCACAAGATAAGCGTAGGGCAGGAAGCCTCGGTAAGGCGAAGTCAATATTATTAACTTTTAACTTCTCCTATATTAATGCCATTCTTCTTAGTCTCCGAGTCCTGCGATCCTTCTCGGGCGGTTTCACCTAAACTATACTTCAATGACACATCACTATATACTAGAACCTATCATGAATACCCTGAAGAAGTAGAGCTTTATCCTTCCTCCCGGGGTAGTGAAACACCCTCTATTACCGGTTTAGAGGGCCCCGGGACGACAAGGGTCTTCGATGTCTTTGCAGACGAGAGTAATAGGCTAATTGATCACATTCATCGAAAGTCTCCCTCCAACGGAAGAAAGCAAATTTCGGAAGATTCATGCGTTCCCACATCTAGAAAACGCCACCGTGAAACGCCTAAAGTCGCGAACGTGAATAAGTCACTTATAGGACGAGTGAGTCACTTAATAGCTAAGGGCTCTCTAAATTATACCCCTGAGGCCCTATTAGCCGGCAACCTCCTCCTACTAAGAAAAACGATCACCTACCTCAAGCGCGCTTCGAATATGACGAGTGCTGAGGCTCGATTTTCTAACGAGTTTTCGGACATGGATAATATTGCTAAAGAGAATTTTGTAGTGCTTCAACTTGCAACAAAGACTCTACAGCATACGTACGGCATCATCGCTACAAGTGCCACAGCAATTAATGTTCTAGCGGGCGAGGAGGTGAGCGTGCAATCAAGGTCGACTGTCACGCGCCACGAATGGACCATGAACGACGAACGCCGATTGTTGAAGTTAAAAGATGCTCAAAAGTTATCGTGGCGGCAAATTCATTAATCGTTCCCTGAACGAACTTTAGGTGCAGTTAAAACACAATACTTTTTAAAGTCTGCAAGGTAGTCTGATTCTTCTCCCAGCAAGAGAAACCACTCCGTTCACAGCCAGCAGAGGAATCGTACATTAACTATGCGAAGAAGTCCGAGGCTAAGTCGAGCCAAAAATGCCTCAACTGCAGTAGTAAACGCGAGACAGGGTCGAAAATCCCATTCACATGATGTGCGGTGCTCCAAAAAATCGACTATATCAAACTAAGAGGCTATTAACCCACGACTTCGGTCTTAGGGCAATTCATAGCAACATTGTTTCGAGATCATATGGCCGAAAACTGAGTGTCTCTTGTGGTGCTTTATCCTTGGTATAAGTAGCGTACATAGATGATGTAATACCGGAAAATTTTGTTTTTGTTCAAATGTATTCAGCCCTTTTCAACCAGAGTTCCGTAAGGTGATTTTTGCTACCCCTCCTATTACTCGGAGGTACTCGTATAGTGGCCCCGCAACCCTTGACATAGCGGGAAAGTTTATAAAGAAAAGGGGAAAACGTTGAGCTTCTGTGTGTGACGTTAGTCTGATTGCTACAAAGGCATATATTTGTTTTTTATGGAATCATAGACTCGACTTTCTAATAACACCAAGTAGTTCTGTTTCTTCACCCTAGAAATATACAGATCTAGGAATCTAAGGATTAAAACGACATAAAACAACAAACAACAAAAAAAGATTAGAAGGAAGAGAAAAGTGACGCCAAAAAAGTTGATAATGTTAGAAAATTTGACAAAAAATTGGGGACGACCTTGACCTTTGTAAAAATATATAATCATGTAATCAAAAAAGTTGCTTAAGCGCCGCGCGCTGCGCGCGGCGGCTGAGTCTAGTCCTCTGCTACTTGCAGTCTTTCTGGTTAGGCGATTATATTCTCGCCAACTTTGATGAGAGCAGCCGTACTGGAAAGGATGTCAACACTATTTTGGGCAGTATTTCTACGTTCGATCCCGATGCCGGCTGTGATGACACAACATTCCAGCCATGTTCATCTCGCGCCCTTGCCAACCACAAAGTGGTCGTAGACTCTTTCCGCGACCTATACACCATTAAAGACGATGCTGCCGAGGGTACTGCCTGCGCAGTTGGACGCTATCCCGAGGACACATACTATAACGGCAACCCGTGGTTCCTGTGCACACTTGCAGCCGCAGAGTTACTATATGATGCGGTCTACCAGTGGGACAACAATAGAGAGATTGTTATCGATTCCACCTCGCTAGGTTTATTCATCGATCTCTACAGCAGCGCCGCCACAGGAATCTACTCGTTCTCAAGCTCCGAGTACACATCCATTGTGGATGCCGTCAAGACATATGCCGACGGATTCCTGACCATCGTGGTACGTTGAACTATGACAAGACAACCCTCTTCAAACTGCTAATATTATTCAGCAGAACCATGGCATGGCAAACGGCTCCCTGTCAGAGCAATTTGATAAATCCGATGGTGATGAGTTGTCCGCCCGCGATCTCACTTGGTCCTACGCCGCTTTGTTGACAGCCAACATGCGCCGAAACTCTGTGGTTCCTGCTCCTTGGGGTGAGACCACCGCCAGCAGTGTACCGGCAACCTGTGTTTCCACCTCTGCCACAGGACTCTACAGCACAGCCACAGATACAGCTTGGCCTACTACATTGACTGGTGGCACTAGCGAAACCACTACTACTACTTCTTCGACCGGCACTACCACTAGTGGAACTAGCACCACTTCCACTTCCACTACCACCAAGACAACAAGTACCAGTACAACCACAACAGCTTGCACAACCCCTAAAACTGTTGCAGTCACCTTCGACTTGATCGCAACCACAGAGTATGGTCAGAACATGTACATCTCTGGCTCCATCAGCGCCCTCGGTGACTGGGATACAAGTGATGCGATTGCATTGAGTGCAGCTGACTACACCTCTTCAGATAATCTCTGGTTTGTCACTATTGACTTCACCGCGGGCGAGTCTTTCGAATATAAGTATATTCTTGTCGAGAGTGATGGCACTGTGGTCTGGGCGGATGGTGATAACGAATCTTACACCGTTCCTGCGGTTTGTGGAGAGACGACCGTCACTGTTGATGATACTTGGAGTACTAGTAGTTGAGCCATGGTATGAATTGTATCTTGATCAGAAGAGCAGAGCCGCTGTGAATGGTCAAATTTGTTTAAGTGAGATAAAGACAGGTATCCGAATTCAGAATATCGAAATGAAGATTATATTGTTTTTCAATTTAGGGAAATTAAGGTGGCTTTCAAAAAATGATGTCTAGGCTCAGGCTTTCAAGAGAGACTGAATCAGATTCGGAACCTGCAAACTTCCAGAAAACCATCGCAACAATGGTTTTATCGTTGGAATTGACTCCATTGCTTAGAATTGATCAATCTGATCACTAAGGTGGTTGTGAGTTCGGAGCCTTGATATTTGTTGCCCCATTCCACATGATGAAGAGTCTGGATATTATCCAGTGATATGTGTTGGGAATTATGTACATACATTCCAGAAAAGTCAGACCACAGTATGTTCCTCTCCAGTACACCAATCCGGCCCTGGGTGACCGTGTGATCCTGATTGTGCAATGTCTGAAGCCTTCATGATCCGCCCGACCACGGCATTAAGTCTTGACCTCTGGCTCTGGATTCCATATGCCAGTGGAACAGAAAATTGATAATATATCGTCTGAGTATTTCCCATCAAGGGAGGGAGGGTAAAATGGTTTCTTGCGTATCGCATGCAATTCTGTATCATGGTCTTCTTTGACCACCCAGACAGAAGCGAAATTGTTGGAAGGACAGTAAATGAGAAATTTCATTACCGCAAAGGGGACCCAAGAGTACTGGTCCGATTTAGAATACTTAGCCCATTCACCGACTATAGGAGTCATGACAAGCTGAACAAGATTCTTTTGGGCTGTGCGTATTTGTGTGAAGAATTCCGTGACGAAGATCTCGCTAATATCGCAGTTGATCATGTAGTCCCGGATGAACCACCTAGGGCAGGTATCACTCCCCCAACGGAGAACATCCGATGCGAGACCCTTTTCAAAGTCGGTCAGCTCTCGCAGCGGGACTGGCATCATGTTTGCATCTATTTCTGGTAGGCAATTCAACACGAGGTAGAGTTTTTTCAGGCATGCAAACCGGCCCAAAGCACTCGACATATCCGTCTGGGCATCTGGATATCGCTGTATACAGATTTGTAGATTCTGGATAGATGGACAATGATTTGCCAACTCTCGAACATGCTCAGCCGAAAATATAGGCCCAGCCCGCCCCCTGCGGCACAGTTTCAATTCCGATAAAGAAATGCCCCCGGAACTTGATTTGGGTCCTATTTCCCCATGTAATCCCAGTTCGAGCAGACTTTTCCCGTGCTTATGTCCAATCACGTTGTTGGCAAACTCAGGAGTGTACATTCCCATAAGACAAAGATATGTCAACGGAGGTAGTGAAGTGAACATCGACTCCGACGCTTGCCAAAATCTTGGACGATCATCTTTTTGTGGAAATAGGGCAATGGTGAGTCGCTTCAGCTGGCGAAATGGGTGATCATCCGCGATCGACTGGAGTATTGTCCAATCTGTAATGCAGCCAAGATTCAAAGATCTCAACACACTAAAATCGGTAATTGTTTGCCAATCCTGGAACTGCAAGGCTGTCATTTCGGACATGCCAAGAGGCCATGACATGGTTTCAATTTTGGCGAGTCCACGTAGTCCATCGCTTTTGGCGCCATTGTCCACTTTGATTCTGTCGAGCTGCCCTCTTATGGTCTGACCGTAGCATCGACCATCAATCCGTAATGCGATCTTTTTAAGATTAGGCGCATGTAACGCAATATTCTGTAGCAGCCTATCCGGATGTCTGAAAAGTGGGCCCCGATCACTATCTTCCAAAGCTGTCAAATGAGCAGCATAGAGCATTGGCGAAGAAAGCCACACTGGATTTATAATGGGAAACATGCCAGCCTCCCTAAGTGGGTGTTGACGCATCACGGTGCTGAAGAAAGACACTCGACAGGCAGGGTGATATTGCGAAAGAGCCTCAAAGAGCTCGACCGGCCCACCATAGAAAACAAATATGTTCACATCGTGTAAATGAGGTATTCGTCGAATCAGATCAATGACCGGACTCCAATCTCCCCCAACGTAGAAGCCAGCTTTGGGGAAGTTTTGATCCTCCAAAAAGGCTCCTTCCAGAGAACGGCAGATGTCGGAGTAGTACTGGTCAAGCCCTTTACTGGTCTCAGCGTCGATTTGCTTGGGGACAAATCTCTTACTGTGGGAACCCGGGGTCCATTCTGCCACAATGCTCAGTTGTCTCGCTTGTGTGAGAATACGTCGGTCATCCGGTACGTCAGGGGTTCTCCCTTCCCTCAAGCGGATGATAATATGCTTGCTCAACAATGCTTTGGCAATTTCATGCCATTTTCGGTTGACTAGGCACAAGGCTCGAAGGCTTTCCTTAGATATGTGGCCTGTCTGTCACTTGAATTAGAGCTGCAAGTTGTTGCTTCAAAGAGAGATGCTCACCCAATCGGCGATAATATGCCTGATCTCCAGTGGTAGGTGATCCATCGTTCGGATTCCGGGTTTCGGTAAAAGTGGTTACATAGGATTAAGGGTAGGAAATAATTGTTGTTGAGTGCTAGAGAATACAAAAGAGAGAGCCGATTCCAGGTAAGAGGGGCGCCAAAAACGGCGTCCCAGGTAGCCATTTTCGGCGCCCAATTTACCGTCAACTAGCGTTGGGATGTAGTAATGCTTTAAAGTAAGAAAAGGCTTACTATCTAGCGGTTGGTATAGATGAGTTATATGAGGTATAAAGTAATAGGGAATGATCCCCTTTAATACTGCGAAGTTAATAAACTAGGGTATACGATGAGACCTATAGTTATCTATTAATAATAGACACTTACTCCTATAGGGAGCACGGTCTTTTATATGGAAATAGAAAGCTTTAAGCTATTAGAAGGCTATATCATCTAAAGTATACCTATTGGGGGTAGGAACTAGGTTGGTAGCTTTAAACCAATTTTCTAGAAAGAATTTGCCTTTAACTAGGAACCACAGTAGTATCTTCTAACCGTTAGCAGCAATATATTTAATACTAGTAATCCCCTTAGATACCCCTCTATTAAGGGAATATATAGTAGGACTCTTTGAAACGACTTTTTGAGTCTTTCCTTGGCCAATTTGGAAGCCGGTCTCGTTAAAATTGTAGATATCCCTCGGTCGTAGATTATTGCTTATAATATACTGATTTAACTGCTGATACCAAGTAGTAAGATAGCCAATATCCTCAACTTCCATTCGCTTCTTTTCCTTCGGTTTTTATTTAATAAAATGAAGGTTGTTAGTATAGAGAATATACTGTAAAAAACGGTATACCCAATGTTTGTCAATAGGTGGACGCGATGTGTTTTCCAACTCGTTCGTGCGTATAATAATTGAATTTGCGCATACTTTCACCATCTTGGTAGTAGGCAGAGAGAAAGCATTATCTAGCATAGTAATCCAGCTAATTATTGCTTCTTCTTGATCAGGATTTAATACTGAATTGGGGGGGTAGCGGGTCGAGTGAGAAGGCCGCCTATTTATCCTTACGTATAGGCGAGTGTAAGGAACGTCGAATTCTCACGCCAATAGCGCGATTTTTGGTTTTTTTCTAGAATTCTAGGCAGCAATAGCAATTGCTAAACGAGCCTCCGAATCTTGGGTTTTTTTAGGCATGTTGGTGGGTAAAAAAATGGTATAGAAAATGGTGACTATTTAAAATTTTTGTTTCGCAAGAGTTTTCGTCTAGCCGTGGTAACCCAATACCCGAATGGGGATTGGGTTGCTTGGCGAGAACCGGGTATTTATCAACCTAAACCCTCAACTACTTTAGGCATAGCGCGACTTGGCTGCCATTCGCACCGCCGAATTATGGCAGATCTGTTCCAGGTAGTCACGTGACGCCCCTGACGTTATCAATCACATCTACCTACATGTGTCCGTCAACGTCCATCTGCACGCGTCCTTACATCAGCGCTGCCTGAGAGCTTGACTTCTAAGGTTAACGATCTGAATATCTTCTCGACACCATATCTACAACCCAAAGCTTGACAGCCCAGCCCATATATCAACGTCACAATGGATAGACCACAAAAAACGGAAGGCACGATGGGAGAGGTGCGAACGTCGAGTCTTACCCAGGTTTGTCCACAATCTTCTGGCCCCTTTTACCTACAGAGACATGATCTAATATACCTCGATTCGATTAATCGTAGGCAAACCTGGCAAGCGGTTCTAACCTCGATTCTACCTCTGCGTCCAGAGGCTCAGAGACCACTACAACTACGCCCCCATCCCAATCATCGTACCAGCCGTTTCTTGGAAAGTCGAACGATCTTGTCGTGCCCCCTAACGCAAGAATAATTCGCCCGCGCTCCCTGAATGATATCTACGATGCAATTGAAGACCTAAAGGCTGAATTAGATACACATACCGTCGAGACACATATCCCCCGACCATCACAATTTATCTGGGCTTATCAAATTCCGCAAGGCCTCTTTACCCAGATAGAAACAGACCTTGAACTCTTTCCCGGTGTTCGAACCACGATCGCACACACCGATTTCGCTGTATTATTGAAAATCATGCCGGGTCGTCAGTATGAACGAATCATTGGGAATTTCCGTCTTATCGTTATGGGCCACCTCAATACTATGGGCTTGTCCTTGCAGAACGGAGATTTCACTGACCAAGGCGCCGAAAGAACTCGCGGATTTCTACAAAGTAAGGAGCCCGATTGGGCATTCGGTCCGTACGACGCACGTATCAATTCAGCGGCAGACGAATATCCTGCCACCGAATATCCCTCCCTCATTCTTGAAACTGGCTTTTCTGAATCCTTGGGCCAACTCCAACTGGATGCCCATTGGTGGTATAGAAATACCACCCAAGAAACCAAAATCGTCGTGTTAATCGATGTGGCAAGCGACAATCCGTACCGCGTCAATTTTGAAGTTTGGACTGAGGTTCCTAACCAGTCCCATGCCCCTGTAACCAGAAATCGTCCGGCCCAAGTTTTTCAATGCACCCAGAGAGCGACATTGCAGAACGGGGTGGTCACAGGTGGCCCTTTGATCCTTAGTTTCCCCACTCTTATGTGGCGAGCGCCGCGGGCTGGCGAGCACGACATTGTTCTAGGGGCTGCTGATTTGGCGATCATCGGTGCCCGACCACGCCCTGCCCCTTAATTTCCCGGCATCTAGCGAAGATGCCGAACCTCATCGCAGCAACGACGGGGCGGCCAACAAGGCGATGGTCCCTCCACTCGGAACAGTATCTCCATTTGTTAACAACGAGCGAATTACTTGATGCCTGATGGGTTGTCTGATATAAACATAACTTCTTCGGTCCAACCATCAAATGAGAGGATAATACTCCGTCGATGGGTAGCAATTGGCTTCGACGTTGGGCATTAACCTAAAGATAACTACGCAAAGGTTCTTGCTATCCGAATACGAATAATCCAGGGGGCCCTGGACCCTGTTATCTCCTGTAAAGTCAATGCTCCTTATATAACTACCTCTTTGTTCTCTAAATTCCAAGTTGTGCTGCCCATGCAGGCGGCTCTATGTGTAGTGGCCCCATCAAAAGCCCCTGCCTGAGAACCCCCAAGAGTTTAGTTACGATAGTTCACTTGATTTGTCTGATTCCTGCTTTGAATTGGTCTACAAATAAAGTAATCTTAAAAAATATTTTCAATTCTCGTGGCCCATTTCATGACTCTTATCATAAAAGAACGAAAAGAAAAGCAAGTCGAGGCTGAACAGAGTGAACACACCGCATGCAATGCAATGCAGGAAAACAAGCACACAGGTTCATGATGTGTGCATGGCAATCATTCTCTGTCATGATCCCAAGATATTTGCACAAAGGACAAAAATGGTATCGACGATCGATCCACCTTGGAATGCCAATGGACAAATACCTAGGGTCCTCTGTTCGATGGCTTCAAGCCCGTAAAAGTTATCGCAGTAGCGCCAGAATGGAGGATTTTCCTATCCTCATGCAAGCCGAGGTGAGGAGCAGCGTCGTAGGCCGGGGAGGTGGTTGATGCTCTTGGTCCGTTCGAACGAATGTATAGAGGGAATCGGATGTCGAAAGTGCCTCGCGTGGCAAGTAGTCAAAGGCAGTTTCGGAGCAGATGAGCGATGGCACTGTGTCCACGACGGCGAGTAAGAGGAGAGGGATTTGGCGAACATGGAGAATACCGAGGGAGGATGTATCCGGGGTATCCTTGAGGGCAGAGCATCGAACTCTAGGGGTAGCAGGGGATGAGCTTAGAGCTCGTCGACATCGATCTCCTTCTCGTCCTCGCTTTCGCGGTCCTCGTCGAACTCAACGTTGTCGTCCAAGCCTTCACCACCGTAGGTATCGGTCTCGTTGATCTTGGCGTGCTCAGGGAGCTCGCCGTAAGCCTTTAGAGAACGGGCCTCGTCGGCGGTGTACTTCATGATAACATCGCCTTTCTCGTCCTGGTAGTCACGGAGCGAGAGGAGAATGATATCACCCTGGTTGATCCAGACCTTCTTGCGGAGCTTGCCACGGATGTGGGCCAGACGCTTCTCGCCGTCGAAGCAGAGTGCCTCTAGGCGACCATTGCCTAGCATTTTCACGACCTGAGCGTACTCCTGGCCCTCCTCCTTGAAGACAAGTTCACGCTTCTCGTTGTCGTTCTCGTTCTTGCCGCGACGACGGTTCTTACCGCCCTATACTTGGTTGTCAGCATGTGTCACACAAGTGAAGATCAGTGGTTTCCAAAGTGAGAAAAATATTTCGCGAGCCCACAAGTCACCAGCTTGAGGGTAGGTGGCTACCCGAGACGGTGGATGTGGCGATGAAATTATCACCAGCAGGAGGGGCTGGATATTTTGCGCGCTTACCTTTCCCTTATTCTTGGGCATAGCGGTTTTTCGTGACCTTCACCTGGGTCAAGTCTCTGGGGAATATTTTTTCCTTAGATCAACGAAGATCTGAAGAGGCCTAATCGAGGTTGATTAGGGGAGTGAGAGTGGAAGAAAGAAGGAGGTGGGGGTTCTGTGCACTGGTATTCAAATCTTTTTTATTATGTAATCAGGCACTGGCTGCCCAGTGGCGTCACAGCGATTTCGCCCCCGCTTAACTACGGCAAATTTATGCCTTGATGCCTGATTTCGGGGTAGATTTTGACCGCCTGGTTTGATTTGGCACAAAAGGATAAGTGTCAAGCTTGGAAGTTTGCAAGGGCATTTCTGAGGAATTCTCTGAGGTGTTGCGATAAAAGGTGCTGTCTGGTCTGTCCAAGATCCTGAGTATTCATTTCATTTACAGCTTTCTTGCCCTCCGTGCGGCCCGTCCTAAGAAGCAGCACGAGACTGCTTTATTCACGCAAGCTCCGAAGATTCGGCGCCTGCCGAGTACATTCACAATACATCTGTGATACTTCTCTTCGTGGCTCGATGGTATCTTTTTGAACCTATATTCCAGACCACCAATTGTTCCTCCGAAGTGTCCATAGGTCTTCGCCGGCTCTGTTTAATCAACCT